CATCCCCTTCGCCAACAGGGAGTCCATTCAGTCAGCTGGTAGGTGGGGGAGCCTTAAAGCCAGCTACCACAGTGGGTGATTGAAGCTTAATCCTGCTGGGCAACTCTGGGAACCAGTACAGAAGAAACACCTGAGAATTACCCTGCCTGAGGGTGAAGGGAGCTGAGATATTCAAATACCATCTCTTGAGAGTCCTTGGTTGAGAGCGTCTCTTGGGGCTGATAATCCTCAGGTTCTTCTGGCCTACTATGCCAGGGCAAAGCAGACTTCCAGTCTTAGGAAAAAGTCCTCAGGAATAGAGATGCAGATATGGACTACTAGGAGTCAGCTGGAGCACAGCCAAAGGAGTAAAGTTCAGTGGAGTGAAATTCAAGAAATGAGAGTGGGATGCTGCTAGCTTCTGCTACAACTGGCAAGTCAATTTTTCGTTTGCAGACAAGGGAGTGCTCAGGAATTGAGAAACGTAATATTTTCTATGATATGTAAGAAGCACTTGATAATTTCCACATGGAATCTCTGCAGCCTCAACGTCTGGGCAGTTTTTCAGGCATCTTTGGACCTGCATGGTGCCCTGGTCTGTGCCAGGATGTGAGTCTTTTTTATTTTGTCAGGTGCAGGAGCTCTCTGAAAGCAGGGCCCAGCGCCCCTCCTCCTCTACTTTCCTCACTGTAGAGCCAAGCACAGCACCTGGTCAAATGAGGACTCACATTATAATTGAAGCATGACCACATAGGTGAATACTGCTCTATAAATGGACTCCAGAGAACATGGTTGGAATGAAAGGTCTTTGCTGAGCTCTTGCCTCTGCCTGCATGGCTAATTCCCTTGATGGTCATGTGTCAGATTCCTTGTTGTTAATATCTTGGCTACAATGTTACCTCCTCAGGTCATCCCTTAGTCTACAATCTCAAGTAGCCACCCAAACACTCCTCAACCCTTACTCTGTTGTAATTCTCTGCAAAGCACTTACTACCATGTGAATCTGTCCTTTATTTATACTCTATTATCTGTCTCCCACCAACAAGAATAAAGGTTCCATGGGAACAGGGACATTGTCAGCTTCCTCACTGTAGTATCCTATGCATGTACTAGTTGATCAATAAATATTTGTTTAATTAAACACAAACAGAAATGAAAACCACCTCCCCTTGGATATAAGGAAGGGGAAGGTCCTTGTGAGTCATGAGGACATTTAGGAATCTGTGGGACTTTCATTGGGAACAGAGATGACAAATTAATAAACTTCTTAAAATTGCTTTTATTAAAATGGAATATTTCAAAACATTCTATGTGTGTCAACAGAAAACAAGCCAACCTCTGTAAAATAACTTAAAGATGTTTATTTTGAGGCAAATTTGAAGACCATGGCCAGGAGCCATGCCCAAGAAGCCTTGAACAAGTGGACTCACTGTGGTTGGGTTACAGTTTGGTTTTATACATTTCAGGGAGGCAGGAATTACACGTAAAGTTGTAAATCAATACATGGAAGGAGTACCTTGGTTTGTCCCAAATAGGTGGGACATCTCAAAATGGGGGTGGTGAGCTTACAGGTTATAGGTGGGTTCAAAGACACCTTCATTTGTAATTGGCTAAAGAAATTAAGCTTTGTCCAAAGGCTTGGAGTGTTTTAAGTTAAGGAAGTCTGTTAGAGACAAGCCACCAGACATATACCGAGACTCAAGTGATTTGTTATGTAAATTGAGGAGCTGCGGGTTTGTCTAGCATAGCCTTAGGCCTGCTAATGAGTTACAAAGGATGTCTCCAAGAAGGAAGGGGGGGCATGATGAGGCCTGTTGACCTCCCTTCTTATTGCTAGCAACTCAGTTTTAGGGTATCCCCTTGGCCAAGACAGGGTCCATTCGGTCAGCTTGGCAGGGGGGGAGCCTTAAGATTTTATTTTAGTTCAAATGTGTGAGGTAGCGTAATGATAAAATGAAGATACTATGTACCCAGCTTAAGAAATAGATCATCTTCAGTAATGGAGGTTTATTGCAAAGGATCAAGGGGAACAACAAATAGCACTGAACTTCATTTCCTTGCTTAGCCATATTGTTAGTAGGAGTCCCCAGAGGTAAAACTGGGCTGTCAAGAGACCTCAGGAGGAAGTGGAAAAATAACATAACATTTTGTGGAATACAACCTGACCTCAAATTATCTGCTGTTTGTTTTAGCTGCCACATCCTCCTCCCAGGAGTGTGATAATAACAGAAGTCACCGCTGTTACAGCTTAGAAACCCAAGAGAACAGGCTCAGACCCTGTGTGGGCTGTTGGGAGATCCATTTGACCCGGAAGGTTGGAGATGGGCTCAGACAGGCTGAGTGAAGACTCAGCTCCTTAAAGCAGGAGGTCCTCTGAGAAAATAAAGTGGTTAATATAGTCTGATCAGGGCCACTGTTTGGTATTTGGTTTTTGTGGCTTTTGAAAGGGGCAGCCTTGCAAAATAACAGGAAAATATCTAACCCTACAGTTTTCTGTTTTTAAATCTTTCACAACCATATTGATTCCTGGGTCCTTCAAGGGGACTGGCAGATGCTGGTGCTTCAGGCTCTCTCTGAAGCAAATAGCAAATTTGGTAGCAGAGTGCAACTTCTCCGGGGTCTTGCCCCAGGGAGGGGCCCTCTGGAATGAAGGACAGGCTGTGGCTAAAGCCTAAAGCCTCAGCTATTGTTCTCAGGGGCTTCTGATTTGCCCTGATTCAATCCTCTGCCTGCAGACTAAAACATCCTTTCAAAAGAACAAGGGAGGAGGAGAGGTCTTCCAAACAAATTACCTATCTCTAGGCCTCATCTCAGGCTCTGCCTTACGGGAGGCTCAAACTGAAACATTAGCCCCTGCTCACATTCCAGCTGGAGCTAGTCTGATGGCCCCCCTCAAGTGTCTGGTCTAGGTAAACAAGTAGACTAGTAAAGGAGGACAGCTGCCATCTCACTCCAGCTGCTCCAGCTGATGGTTACCAGCACTGCTAGAAATCCAGGCTTTAATGGGAAATCCTTTTTTTTTTTTTTTTTGAGACAGGGTCTCACTCTGTCCTCCAGGCTAGAGTACAATGGCATCATCAGAAGTCACTGCGACCTCAATTTCCTGGGCTCAAGCAATACTCCTGCCTCAGCCTCCCAAGTAGCTGGGCGTACAGGCCCGGAGCCACCACACACCACTAAATTTTTCTGTTTTTTGTAGAGATGGGGTCTCACTCTTGCTCAGGCTTATCTCGAACTCCTGACCTCAAGAGAGCCTCCCACCTTGGCCTCCCAGAGTGCTAGGATTACAGGTGTGAGCCACCATGCCTGGCTGAAATTCTCTTATTTTTAAAGGTTAGCAACTAATTAAAAACCATTGAACAGCTCCAGTCAATACTCTGCTGACCAGATTAGGCCATGAGCAGCACACTCTTGCCTGCTGGTATAGAGTATGGGCACTAACCCAAGTAACAGTGGAAGAGGAAGACTACAAATGGGCTAAGGCCATAAGGATGGCAGATTGGGTGACGGAGCAAGGGAACGGGTTCTCTCCAGATTTGAGAAGACCAGGAAAGGGCCACAGCCCTTAGATAACACATCAGAGCTGAAAGGACGGCATTGCTAATAAACTATCTAACGGGAAAAAAAAGAAAGATCACAGCACCCAACTGCCCTTCATTTGATTAACCACCTGTGGCTTAACTCATTGTCTCTTAAGAGTCTGTTTTTACAGCACTTGAAAAGAACTGAGCAAATAGAAGAGGAATGACCCTCCTCTCCCTACATCCACCAAAACACATTCCAAGGAGACTAATAGGCTGGCAGAAAAGAAAAACAAACACAGTTGCCTTCTGTTTTCATTTTGCAGCAACAACTTATTATTATTTTTTTTTTACCCTTTATCACCCCCAATAAAAAGCCTAAACCCTTCACCCTCACCACAGATACTTCTCATTTCTTTCTTTCATGCCATGCCCTTTCCTCCCTTGGAAAGTAAAATAAACTTTTTCTTTAAAACCTGTCTTAATCTTTGAGTTGATAATTCTTTCTTGTTCCGTGTTAGGAGTTCCCATCCTAACAAGAGCTAACACACATTGACTGTTTACCACGTGCCCAGCTTGCAACCACATTATCTCAATCTCACAACCTCAGGAGGCAAACGCTATTTTCATTATCCCCATTTTAGAGGTGAGGAAATAGAGCTCACAGATGTTAAGGTATAGAGCTGGGATTCAAAATGAATTCCCTCTTTACTATTTACATGTTATCGTCACCATGGGGTGCAAGCCCTAACTCCAACAAAAGGAGCAGGGATCTGGGCTTCTAATTTTGGGTTAGCTTACAAGAATCTCTTTGCCTCATCTTACAGAAAAGTCTCAAAGAGTGAAAGTTTTTTACAGAACCCAGCTAATAAATGCACAAAGAATAATAAAATTAGAAAACCACCATTAGGCAACCCCTAATGAATTACAAGATCAAAGCTGGGTAGATCATAATTTAAGTGAAAGCCTGTTGGGAACTTAAAAATAAATCAGGTCACTTCCTAATGTGATGGAAAAGCAAGCATTCTTGCTAAAAATATTAGAATCTGTGTTTGAATGAGCATCTAAATCTACCAGTTTATAAGAAAAGTGGGTGATAGGGGAACATACTTAATGACACTACAGGGATACAACTGGATGAATCCAGAACGTGAGAAATTCTAGAACAAATGACCTAGTTCTTTCAACAAATGAAGAAGAAAGAGGGGGGACTATTAAGTACTTTTTAAGTGACTTAAAGGGACATCAGCAAAATACAACGTGTGAATCTTGTTTGGATCCTGATTCACACAAATAAACAAAGACATTTTGTGATAATGGCAGAAAATTGAACATTATAAGATGATATTAGGTAATAATTAAGAATCACCATTAGTTTTGTTGGCAATGATAATGGTATCATTGTTACATACCTTACAGTTAAGTCCTTACAGTTTTTCTGGAAAACCAAATGGATCATATTACATGAAAACTTCTATACCTCCTTATCAGTTTTTCGTGGAAAAGCAAGCTTTGTTTCAAAGCAATCTGAAAAGAGCAGTTGGAGGACCACATTTACAAACTGGTAGGAGAGAGCACACAGTTACATGTCCAGTTAGCAAGGTCTCATTCAGGAGTCTCATCAATTCCTGCCCAATGCCTACTTAGTTTCCTCTTCAGGTGGAAACTAAAAAGTAGGCTTGAAGATGCTACTGATGTCTGTTATCCAGATATGCTCCAAGTTCAGGAAAGAGGACACGTGGGGTCAAATTCTTGAGGGATCTACTTAATTATTTAAATAAATATTTACATTGAGAATACAGTTAGTAGCTTTCTTCACATTTTCTCATTTTTAAAAGAGCCACAGAAATTTCATTCATGATTCAAACAGTTGAGTTGGTAAAGACCCTGTCTCCATTTCCTATAAGAAGGATTACATTCAATTACTCTTCACAACAGCCAACTGGAAGATTATTCCATTGCTTTTGAACTACTGGTTGGGCTGGCATCTGCAATGGTAGCCAAAAAAATGAGATTTCTATGTAACACATGTTGGTACCTACGGGTAAAAAATCGGGCAAAAATTAAAGGCTTGTTTTTACTGACTATAAACAAACACTGAAAAACAATGTACCCACTCTAGTGGAATGGCTCATCCACTGATTGGATGATGCAGTGTTATCAACTTTCTTGCTTAACATATTCAAGGAAAATATATCCAGAATCTCACCCACTCTCATAGGTCACTTCTACAGTTACCTCTCTAGGACAAGCCACCATAATTTCTTGCTTGGACTACTGCAATAATCTCCTAACTAGTCTCCCTGATCTACCTTTGCACACCTACTTTATTCTCCACACAGCAGCCTAAGTGATCATTGTACAATTTAAGTCAAGATCATGTCGTATCTCTGTTTAAAACCTTCCAAAGGCTCCCATCTCAGAGTAAAGCTGAGCCCTTCTCATGCCCTATAAGGGGCCTGCAGTTACCCCTCTGATCTCATCCCCTACAGCTTTCCCTTTGTTCACTGGGTTCTGGCCACAGTGGCCTCCTTGCTGTGATTTGATGATGTCCAGCGCACTCCTGCCAGGCAGCCTTTCCACCTGATGCTCTTTCTGCCTTACCTGTCTCACTATGCCTTACTGCTGCATAGCTGTCTAGCTCTCTACTCAAATGCTGCCTTATTAGACATATCCTGTATAAAATAGCACCCTCCCCCCACCTACTCTGCTTTATTCTTATTCAAAGCACTTATTATGTGCCTAATTATATATTTTTTTTCCTCTAGAGTCTAGAATGTCAGCTCCATGAGTGTAGAGCTGGTGTCTGTTTTGCTACTGATTCCCTAGTGCCTGAAACAGTGCCTGGTACTGTGTCTCTTGGTATCTGCAGGGGATTGGTTCCAGGATCCCCTATCCCTGCTCCCCCAAAGAAATAACAAAATCCAAGGAGGTGCAAGTCCCTTATATAAAATATTATAGTATTTGCATATAACCTATGTATATGTTCCACATTTTCCCATATACTTTAAATCATCCCTAGATTACTTACAATACCTAATACAATGTAAATGCTATGTGAATAGTTGTTATACTGTGCTGTTTCATTTGTATTACCTTTTACTGTCATACTGTTATTTTTTATTGTTTTTTCCCCCAAATATTTTTTATTTGTGGTTTATTAAATCCATGGATGCAGAACCTGCAGAAACAGAGGGCTAACTGTACTTATAAAATATCTTTTGAACAAACTTCAAAGAAGGGACAAGATATTTCCATGATCAATGTGAGCTTACTACAGCAGCGATTCTCAATCAGGGTGTGGAGCTCCCCACCCATGAAGACAAATCAGATGAGGGGCCAAGAAGCATGGCATGTGCAGTGTGAAAAAGCCCAGTAGGAGCTTTTGACAACTTTCTTACCCCTGGGTTGAGAATCATTACATCAAACTGAACGTTTTGCCACCATTTTTCATATAGAAAAATGAGAAAGCGTTTACTGAAAAAAAAAAAAAAAAACCTGTTAAAAAAGCAAATTACCAAATGCCAGAGTCAAATGTAAAGACTTATACCAAAATGGGCCAGGCGCGATGATTCAAGTCTGTAATCCTAGCGCTCTGGGAGGCCAAGGCAGGAGGATCGCTCAAGATCAGGAGTTTGAGACCAGCCTGAGCAAGAGGGAGACCCCGTCTCTACTAAAAACAGAAAGAAATTAGCCGGACAACTAAAAATATATAGAAAAAATTAGCCAGGCATGGTGGCGCATGCTAGTAGTCCCAGATACTCTGGAGGCTGAGGCAGAGGATTGCTTGAGCCCAGGAGTTTGAGGTTGCTGTGAGCTAGGCTGATGCCACAGCACTCTAGCCTGGGCAACAAGTGAGAATCTGTCTCAAAAAAAAAAAAAGACTTATACCAAAATGGATATCTCTACTAGTCCATTGAGATATTCAGTGAGGGATTGTAGGTGATTTTTCTAGGTCATAGTGGTTCTTAAACATTTCTTCAGTAACAATGAAATATTTTTCTATAAGAAATGGGGCATGATTCCTGGAATAGATTTGTAAAAGAGACTCAGACTCTATTTTCTCTCATTTTGGTATATGATTAGAGAGCTCATTAAATTATGCAGAATTTACCTTTGGGTGAACTTGGAAATCCTTTGTTCATCTTTGTGTCACTCACAGACTGACAGCAAGTTAGAAATGGGAGGGAGTTTAGCAGTCAAATGGTCTGACCCCCTCGCTTAACAGACAAAGGATGAAGTAAGGACCCACGATGAGAAAAGGGCCACTGCCTCTGATCTCCTGAGCACAGTTTTCTGTGTGCTCCCCTCCCTATCCCTGTCGTTATCAGCTAGCATGGCTCTACATGAAAGAGGTTTTGCAATGAGAATAATTCAGGTTTTGAAGAGGGAAACACGTATGACTCCAGGCTCCACAATGTACTGGCTGTATGATCTTGACCAAGTAAGTAACCTCTTTGAGCCCCCCTTTCCTCTACTATAAAATAAGTCTCAACTGCAATCCATCACCCAAGATTCCTACTTCAGGATAGCTGCTGCATCATCCACTGGCTTCCCCTCCGCTCAAGGGTCAGGGGCTTAAGGGGCGCACTTACTGGACGCACTCGTTCGCCCGGCCCTTGGTCTGATACTCCACGATACAGCGGATCAGCTGGTCATTCTCCTCCAGGAGCTGAATGATCAAAGAAAGGGTCAATGCAGTGAGACATCAGGATGGCTGGGAGGACTGCACCCCCCGCCCCATGCCGGACTGTCCTGCCCCAGCGCCTTTGCTGACTTCATTCCTGCCTCGCTTCGCAGACTGTAAGTCTCAGCTGGGATGCTGCTCACTCTAGGAAGCTTCCCGCACCCCGCACCCCCTCAAGATCTCTGCCCGTGTTGATGCTCACCCGTTGGATAGTCTCTTGATTGACTTCCGCCTTGCCCCTCAGCCAGTCCGGTACGAAGGCCACAGACATTCCGGGGAGCCCAGTAGAAAACCTGCTTCAGAAAGCGCGGACCGCCACTTGCGGAGATCGGAGCGAAATACCAGATTGAGACGCAACTACGACCACAACAGGCTCCCACAATACATGGGGGCCTGCGCTCTGTACGTTAATTGGATGGGGAGAGGGAGAGACGTCACTTGTGATTGGACGCGCAAGAACGGCGCTCAGCGTCCTCGGGCCCCGCCCCTAGGGCGCCAGGGCAGTTTGCGTACCCTTTGCGCTTGCGCAGTCTGGAAAGTTAATCTTGAGGGAGCGGGGCTGGGTCTACTGCTGACGTTACGCCGCATCAGCTCCTCGAATTTTAGGCTGTGCGTACTAAATCTATCTGCAGGGGCAGCTTGCCCAGGGGCAAATAGAAATCATGCCTGGAACCCAGATATGTGGCTTCAAGTCCACTGCCCTTTTCACATCACTCCAGTGCCTCCAGGCCTGCGTCTGGAGCTTGAACGTTGGACATTGCCTCCTGCAGGGCTAGGAAAACACTATTATTTGCTTTATTCTTCGCTGAGGCAGAAACTTGTGTATGTGCCTAGATTTCCTATGGGCAATAACAATGCTTATTAGGTTTACAATACTAAAAAGCACGAGTATTTTCTCCGTTTTACAGATGAGAAAACAAGTTAAGTAACTTGCCTAAGGTCCCAGAGCTACCAAGAGCAAAGCCAGTATCTGAACACAGGCATTCTAGTTTTACAACCCTCTGCCTTAACCACTACCCCATACTGCCTATGCATCATACTGCAAAGGTGGTTTTCTACAAGATGCAAGGAGGAAGCTGGGCATATCCTCCTGGGTCACATAGTTACTCCTGGCAACCACTAAAACTCTTAAGTGGTTGTAGTCTTCTAGCCCATCTGGGGTGGATGTGGTAATAAAGTTGTTTTTCCCTAAAGCACAGAGTGAGCAGCAGCCACTTAATTTAGGAGGGAGATTTGGGGAGCCTGTACTCCTCAAAAGGGGAGCTTCCTAAAGCTTCATTTCCCCCAGCGGTGGCCCTGATCCAGAGGCAGGCTTGTCTGCTTTGTTGGACTCTCCCTCCACAATTCCTTTATTCAAGCCTGTGAAGAGGCACTTTTCATCCCATTGCACAGAAGGGTAAACCTGCTGAGAGAAGTGGGCTAATATGCCTAAGTTGGGGCAAGTCTTGGGTTTCCAGGTTCCCAAGCCTGCACTGTTAACCTCACATCAGTTTCCCTCCCCAGGAAAATTCCATAGAAAACAGAGTGGGCAGAGAAGGAAACATCAGGAGCACGATGCAGGTCTTGCTTAGTTCTACCTAGCCCTATTCCTGTTTAGACAAGCAAGGAAGGGCAATAACAAGAGATGGTGTTAAGGTGGGGCAGGTGCAGGGGACCAACCTGGTCCAGCATACAGGGAAAGCACTCCAGGAGAAGAGATGTTTCTATATAAAGAACAAGTGGAGGTTAAGCAGGTGACAGGTGTCCAGATTCTGGACTCACTCTTAGGAGTAATGGGAGCGATGGAAGATTTTAGGCAGAAGAGTGATGAAGTCAGAAATGCATTTTAGAGTTTTCCTGGCTGTAATATGGTGAAAGGGAAGGCAGCGAGATAAGAAGCAAAAAGAACAGTGAGAAGGCTGGGATAGGCATGTGGGCCAGAGATAGTGGGAGCAGTGAAAAAGAAGTGTATGTATTTGAAAGACAATAGAAGTCGACTTGACAGGCCTTAGAAATTGAATGGGGAGGGAAAGGAAAGGGGAAATTAGGGATGACTCCTGCGGTTCTGGCTTGGGCAGCTGAGAGGCTGGAGTTGCCACTTATGGAGGTTGGGAACAGTGCGGGAGAAGCTGGACTTGACCTGAGGGTGATACATTCAGTCGTGGAAATGCATGGTTTGAGGTGATGTCAAATGGAGATACTGAAATTCATGGATGGCTATTTGGGTCTGAAACTCAGGGACAAGGGATGGGCTAGAGCTACTGCTTTGAGAAACATCACTTGTGGTAACTTATGGGAACCATGTAGTGGATAAGTCTGCCTAAGGAGAGTGTGATGGTTTCTCTCATGGTGGAGGAAAAGAAGCTGCAAAGGAGACTGAGGGGGAGAAAGAGACTAGAGATATAGGAAGAGGAAAACCAGGAAAATGGAGGTACCCACGATTCCTGGCACACAGCTGGTGCACAGTGCTCAATACTTGTTGAATGAATAAACAGACGAACTCTGCTACCTAATCTCCCTCCAGCTAGCCATCCATCTGCGGGTGCCTCTGTCCCCAGCCTGGGGTGTGTCCCGCCGGGGTCGGACTTTGGCACCCCATCCAGGCTGGAAGTAGGCCATGCTCTTTGGTTTGCCTATCTCAGGCCTCCAGCCCGGCCGCGCGGACCGGGGAACCCACGCCCCGGGCGTGTAGCTCTGTCACGCGGAGCCTCCCCGCCTCCAGACGTCAGTCCTGTTGCTACCCCGGGAGGACTCGAGCTTAGACCACAAAACCTCCTCGCACCTCCAGACGTAAGAGTTACAGACTCGGACCTCAAACCCACGCGGGGAGAGCAGAGAGGTGGTAAGAAAGTTGGGAGGAGCGCGCCCCAGCCACGCCCCCTGTACTTTTGGGTCTCAGTCCTTTAAGAACCACTCCTTTAGCGACTCGGTCAGGCCGGGCTGCGGAGGCGCTCCAGGATTGGTCGGTTTGGGTGCGGGTGTCACTTGGTAGCAGCGAATGGGGACTCAAGGCTTGCGCACGCGCACCACCGCCTACCTGCTCCTGGGCCGCCGGTGACCTGGGCTGGGTCTGCCCGGTGCGCCGAGGTAGCCGGGGAGGCGGCAGGTGGCACGGCAGTGTGGCGGCGCGGCGGGCGGGCGGGCGCCGACTCCCGAAGGCCGCCGGCGGGGCAAGGTGAGGGCTGGCGGGCGGAGGCGGGTGCCGCGGCCCGTTAGAAGAGAGCAGGCGGGGTCGGGCGTGGCGCAGGGCGGGCCCTGCCGTAGGGGCGGCCCGGGGCCCGCCCCACCCTGCCCTCAGGCCGGCCTAGACCTTCTGGGCTTCTTGGGCTGCTTCCCGGACCCGGGGCTGCCCAAATCGCGCGCCCGCAGCAACCCTCTGCTGAGAGATGCGCCGAGGGCTACCTCCAGTGGGAAGAGTCGTGGAGTGTCCAAGATGAGAGAGGGGGCGATAGTTTCTTTAACCATCCGTGCAGCTCACGTCAGAATATTGTTTAATTTTAAGAGCAGACTTCCCTTAGCGTGCCAATATAGTAAGACTTCAAATACGAACATTTCTGAACACCAGGTGTGATATGTTCCATTACAGGTGTTGCGTCCGTTACAGGTTTACACATAGATCCCTAGAACCAGAAGGATAAAGCACTTGGGGAAAAATTAGATTTGTAGAAATAAAAGCCAGGAAGGAATATTCCCATTGGTGGAAAGTAAATGGTGAAATTTGTGACATGGTCAGAAAAAAAAAAAATACAGCTCAGAACCTATGGATAGGGTAAATCTTCATTGAATTTTACAGAGAAAATAGTTGATCCGGATAAAGACAATTTTAGTAAAATGAAAGTGGAAACAATTGGAAGTGGTTTAACGTTGCTAAATAGAATTAAATTGACAATAGAGTTTTCTTTCAAAAATGCATTTTAAGCAATGTTGTTACAGCTCTGATTTAAGTGTTTTATTTACAACACAGAGGACATCTTGGGGTCCCAATACTTTTATTCTTAGAATAAATTTAGAAATTAACTGTTCTAAAGGTGACTGATAGTCAGAGGAAAACTGACTTCATGGTAATAAAGTGGATTAGGGCAGTTGTAACAAGTGTAACGTTAGGCTCCAACCTCAACCAACAAGTCTCTGGTTAGTTTTTAGTATTAGTGTTCTAGGAGAAGGAACTATCCTACAGACAGAGCAGCTGTAATCCGGAAGGTTGGATTTAGAGAAGCAGGACGGGGTGGAAAGATCATAGCTTTAGAATATTTCAAACAAGTAAGTCTGGGTTTAAATCCTGGTTTTACCTCTCGAGCCTTGGAGCTGCAGTTTTTCCTACCAGTCCAGTGTAGGTTATGCCTATCTTGTGCATAGTTATGAGCATTTAATAATATTATCAATGTAAAAGTTCTAGCACAGTGCCTGGCATATAATATTAGTTCCTATCAAGTTCATTTCCCTACCCTTCTCAGTTCCTAAAAAATACCATGGTGGACCCTCCTCTCCACTCCATCCCCTCTCCACTCTATCCCCAAGCAACTCAGAGCCTACAGGATCTACAACTTAGGTAACCAGTTCTTAATTCCTGTTGCTGAAGGTAAATTTAGTAAGGGTGACACAACTCAGTTTTGTCTTCTGAATTTTGTGTTTGAGGAGTGGGCAATATTCCTTATGGTGAATACTTGTGATTGAATATTTGTGTGCCAAATGAAACTTGTTTTCCTTGTTTAAATTCCTATTTTTTGAGGCCTGGTCATCTCTCTCCTTCTCTCTCTCTCTCTCTCTCTCTCTCTCTCTCTCTCTCTCTGTCATTCTCTCATTGCATGTGGTAGGGATTTGGGGGAGGGTTAAGAATAAATGGGGGAGAAAAAATGATGGAAACAAGGGTAGCCTCCAGCATAGGTACAGTCTTTTCTGGTAGAATAGGGATAATCTATAACATGAGCAGTTTATAAACAGATGCTGGGAAGAGGATTTAGGAAATGGGGGAGGCAGATTAAAATATATTTTTATGAAACCTGGTAACACGGATGCTGTGTATTTGATTACTACTTCACATTGTACTTTTAAAAATTTCATCTGTATAAACCTTTCTCTTTTTCTCTCCAAGTAGAGATTTATTGGGGAAAAGCGTTCAAAATATAGATCAGAATTAAGACAAGGAATCTGCAAACCTATATTTCTTATTTCTGGCAAACAAAAGTAAGACAGCCCTCAGGTCATTCATTCATTTACTTGCAGTTTTTATTGAGTACTTCTAATTAGTGCCGGGCAAGGTGGCAGGTTACAAAGTCCACTGCCGTGTAGAAGGAGCTGGTAAGAACTGGAAGACAGAC